CTGCATATTGAGACCATGGGAGTAGGACCTTATAGTGTGAATGCGTAATACAGTATTCCTCTCCAGAATGAAAGATAAGAAGGAAAAAAATGCTTAAATAAAACAAACTTTATACAGTAGTGGTTAAACAAAAAATGGACAGAGGTCTGTTTTAATATTGCATTTGTCAATGCAAAACAATAACAACAACTGAAGAGTAAGATTAGATTTAAAGATAGTAGTTCAAACCTAGTACCTGGTATAGCAAAAAAGCCTTACTCAGAGTTAGCGGCCAGCAAAATTGTTATCTGCCATCTAAAGCTGCCATCTAAACACATAAAGTAGGGTGCTCCCCACTTTGAAAAAGACCTTGCATGACATCATTCTACCATATGAGCAAGGAGTACAGTAAATACTCAGCACTGGAGAAGAAAATAGGGATTCAGTTCTGACATTATCAGCTGGCATACTGGGGCATTTGTTGGATTCCTTGTGTGTTGCTCACTGAATGCTGATGTTTATTTTATCTGCTTTTCAACACTTGCCACTGCTTGGAATTTATCATGGACTGGGGCACCAGAGCCAGTAGTCTGACATTCAGCTGTAGGCTTGACTTGTGGCAGTAGAGCTAATCACAGCACCACATGTGCAAGATAAACCCACTGATGTGCAAAGATAAGTCAAAGTTGGCGACTGCAACAATACCGATATGCTTGCCAGAACGACTAAGTGGCACCAAATGCCAGCTACCTCAAAGGAAATCTGCTCAGAACTTTGCAAAATCAGGAACCTATGAAGATTCCCTTGCACTGGGAATCTTAAGCTTTATATTATACTTTGCTACTGGCAGATGATAGGATTGTACTCCTAAGATTATGCACATTGTATTACATTTCTCTACTGAATCTAGTTTTCAGATCTTTCCAATCCCAAAAATGGTTAAAGCACATTCATTCCTACACATAATTCTTGTCAGTTAAAAAATTATCTGCGTTAGATAGAAAAGTTACAAAGCGATTGTTAGGAGGAAAATAATAGGAAGCACTTTACAGAATATCTACCTATCTACCTATCTATCTCTTTACAGAATGACAAGGGCAACCACAATGTTGCCACAAATTTCAATCTTCTAGATTTCAGTACATTGTTCAATATTATATAAGGAAGAAGGAACATCTGAAGTGAGGTGAGGGTGGAGAGAATCAGTGTCATACTACATGCTTTGCATCTATCTGATTTGAGAGAACCCAGTTGGAGAATATACCTCATTTAAATTCAGTGTAATACATTAGATATTGTTATGCCATAAGAAAAGGATAATTCTTCCTTATATAAAGCAATTTAGAAGTTTCAGTTGAGACATTTCAACATACGAACAGTAGCGCATTAGGTTCCATTTTCAAAAGTTCACATTCAAGAATAAATTCTATTCTAATGAAGGCAAAATATGCACATTAAAGGTTTGTTTAAAGACAACATGAAAGCTAAAACTAGAACCCTAATTCCATTAAGGATTCCCTTTCAGCAGAGCAGTGACTAAACAACTAATTATTATTTAGAATAGGTAAAGCAATTTTAAAGACTTCTAAAGGAAAATTAAATCTTAAGTTAATTTATATAAAATTATACCATGAGGAGCAACTTTTTCCCAAAAGCCTGTCAAATATATTTTGAGGATTTTCTGTGCACAAGAATAATAAGAACAAGCAAGAAATGTGAATCTTATAGTCTTAAATATTACTTCATTCATCATTCACTAAAAATTGATAAACGTATTACTCTAGGACTAACACGATTTAAGGAAATTATTTTGATTTGTTGAAAACACAGAGCCCATTTGCTTTCTCATTAAACTCAAGTTTTAAAGTTTACGGTTCAGCCTCATACCCTGCAACCACCTCAGACGCATTAACTTCTGCTTGAAGGTCTTTCAAATTCTTTTCTCTGAGAACCAGCAGAGTGATAAAAAGATACTTGCAATTCGTATCAATATGAGCTGCCAGCTTCCAATGAAACTACATTAATAATCCATAGTTAAAATGAAGGCCAATGCAGCTGAGAAATTGACAAAGGTGACTCTTCATGCAAAGGAAGTGCCTTAATGTTGTTAGAGAAACTACTTTACATGATTTTTCTTTAAAAAAATCACTCTCTCTCTCTCTCTCTCTCTCTCTCTCTCTCTCTCACACACACACACACACACACACACACACACACACACACATACATATGAAATGTGGTGGAAATATATAGGGGTTTTTCAATTTTATGCCTAAAGATTGCTGCTCATGAAACAAGAGTTCCCAATGTTCTCCCTCCTGTCTCTTACCATGGCCCCCAAACATGTTCTTGGGAGTCCTCCAAATCCTCAAGAACAGTTATGGGGAATGTGCTAGTAGATGCAGAGTGAAAAGAGAAGACATTTTATTGATAAGGTTGTTCTGTGATCAGAATAACGCCGATGGATTCAACTCTCTCTCTTTTTCCTAGAAATCCTGAAGCATTCTCAACCATAACCCTTTCTAGAAGAAAACTGCAGAAACAGAGGCATACATCCATATATATGTGGTACTTTGGAATCCAGCACCGTTTGTTATTAAATGTCAGCTAGACATTATTACATCTAAGTTAGGAATTTTATACAATGTTTGCTCCCCCATATAAAAGCCAACTTGACCAAAAAAAGGTCAAGATTCCCTAAGATAAACAAGTGGCACAGCTTCTAAATGTATTCAACAACTCTGAATTCATCACTTCATTTGTACAGAATACTGGAACTCTATTCAGGAATTTAAAAACCTTAACATGGAGGAGAAAAAGGCATGAAAACCCCAGCCTTAACCCTGCCCACCACTGGCAGGGAGTGTCTGACATAAGTACCAAATTGTAAAGAGTACTATAATCCATATTCAGTCAAATACAATTATATTATTAAATGAATAATTAAAATGGCTATAAAATAAGATACTCTGTTTACAAAAGTCATTGTTTCCCATCTGCACATACCAACTATTCTCTCTCACACATCCAATAACTCTTAGAAACATATAAGCATGTGCATGCACCCAACATGCGCACCCAGACATACACAAGTTCCCCTCCAACATTCCAGCACAAAAAGCATAAAAGAAGGGGGGGGAACAGAATGGAAATGAGTTCAGGGGAAAGAAAAGCTTTACTGGGAGGGAGGAGAAATGGGGGAACAAAAGTGGATGGAGAAATGAGAAGAGATAACTGGAGAGGAAAGGAAAGTAGGGAGAGAGACTCTGTTTAGGCATTACAAAGAGTTAAATTTACCAGGCAAACGGCTCTTCCAAAGCAGTGCTAAGCTAATCTTCACATTTTGCAGCAACAATGTCTGCAGCCATTTACAGGCAGTCCTTGACTTATAACCATTCGTTCAGTGACCATTCAAAGTTACGATGGCGCTGAACAAGAGGGACTTATGACACACCCTTGGAGTTCCAGCTGTTGCAGCATCCCTGCAGTCACATGATCATGATTTCCAACATTCCCTGCTGGCTTTTCACAAGCAAAGTCAATGGAGAAGTCGGCAGGAAGTTGGAAGTCGCAGTCATGTAAAGTCCTCGGTTAATGACCTGAACGGTCCTTGCTTAACAATGGCAACCAGGACTGTCAGAATTACCACTGTTATCCAGCATGGTCATGTGGCATCACACTTTACAATCAGTAATTTAGCGACAGCAATTCTGTTCCCAATTGCCGTTATAAGCCGAGGACTACCTTTACACCTTTTGTTCATTCCTTTGTTTCCAATGTTATCTTCTATTCTTAATCACAGGTAATTATTTGGGGAAAAACTATGCCTTCCTAGCAGAATGCTTACTTTTAATCCTTCTTGTCAACCCATGAAAGCTGGAGGGCTACATAAGTATTTTTTCCCATACCTCTTGGCATTAGCCAAGTCTAGCTGAAAAACCACAGAGTTTTCCACTTAATAATGTAATAATGTATAAATAATGCATTACATTTGATTTCTTTAATTTCTCCCCACTATATTTGCCTAACCTCTTATTAACTGAACACTCATATTACATTAAATACATTAATTGACAATAAATCTTTTTGGGTCGTTACACCAATCAGGTGTACAACTGCTCAAAGAACACAACAACTAAGACAGCAAATGTTATATGATATCCACTGTTCATTACTGATTTCACTGTAGATTCCATTTACTAAATAGCTCGCAGTATAAACTTAGCAATTTCCTCTCCTGTTTACTATTGTCTTATAGAATGTATGGATGCAGAGCATTTTAAAGGAGAGAAAGGATACATGGCATTTGTCAGAAAACAGAAAGTAAGAGAGTAAGGTTTTGTATCACTCTGTATCAATACCGCAGAAAAAGATCTCAACCATCTAATACATCAGAGCTACAAATAATGGCTTAAACTATTATCCAACCCCAACTTGATTTAAATGAATTCATTTTGTTTCAATAGCACCTTCGCAAAGAGTATAGAGAGAGCATTTGTCAGTTTCTGGTATATATTGCCTTACATCTTGGGACTTGGGGAAAGTAAAGACTTGTCAGCTTTATTAAAATTCTGCATTCCATAAATCTTCTGAAAGTGGCTGCAACCAGAAATAAAAAACCAGGGAACTCCTATGAACCCAAAAAATTATGTGGGAGCATGCAAACAGAGCATCTGGGATCCCCACCATAATACGGTCTGCTCGAACTTTACATGTGGCAGAAACACACAGAGCAGACCTCTGTCAACTACTGCCAAGTTTATAGCATGCAAACAAAACCAACACTAACTGAAACTGATCTGACAAGTTTCTTTTCTCCCATGAGGAACCTGAGAAAGAGACTATGAGAAGAGTTTTTTTTCTTCCCAAGTTCAGCTAACTTCAAAAGAATCATTCAGTCCATCATTTCCAAGAAAAGAAAGTCCACCTCAAATCATTAAATAATTTTTCTGAGGAAGCACTTCAAATTAGCAAACAAATTAGCAAACAGAACGCTATTAAAAATGGCTCAATACACTCACCAAGCTCATTGAGACTCTGAGCAGCTTTTGTTATCTCTCTGCTTCCTCCCTGCAGCTGCCCTTGAAGTCTTTTGCTGAGATACAAGATCCGTATTATTCTCCGCAGCAAGTCGCAAGCAGCCTTGAGAGGAAACATTGCTTAAGAATGTATTCAACAAGATTCATCATTATTCAGCATTAAGTACCTACTGTGGAAACACCCCGTGTCTTCTGGACTTATAATACAAGCTTGATCCCATTGTTGTTCAGTTCATGACCTGATATTATTTAGCATATAGTGTTGGTAAAAACACCCCACAAAAGCTTATAGCTGCTAGCCACCCTACAAGGAACAACATTTAGACATAAATCCATAATGAAAGAACCACAGGCATCTAGTAGCAGCCACAGTGACATCACATCGATCATCACATCGTAATGCAAAGGATGCAAATGACATAAATCAGTTGGTTTGTGCAATGACATCATAGCATGTATGGTATGACTTCCCTTCCCTCCCAGGGAGAAGCCCACAGAGAGAATTCTACAGCAGCGTTTTTCATGCTGATTCAGGAATTCTGGGAGTTGAAGTCCGCACATCTTAAAGTTGCCAACTTTGAAAACACTGCTCTAGAAGATAATGGCTTCCCTATTAAAACTCTGAGCTTTGCTATTGACTTCAAAAAGAAATATGGCTGGCTAACATCATTTATAATCAATGTTAAAACCTCATGACTGATACCAAAGGAGAATTTAGAAAACAAATGAAGCATGCATAATTTTACAAACCGGCATAATTCACACATACTAGATTCTTCCATATAGTAGATTAACACATAGTTAAACTATGCTATGTAAAAATAACCTGATTTACATTATATCTCAGTGTACTACTAAAACACAGTAGTATATACTAATGATCTCTTACAACTGACTCCAGCAATCTCTGTATCAAAGACAATGAATTGAATTCTACTCTTCTCTGTAACAATGAACTAGGGCGGACCTGTGAAGCGCTTGAAGTTTCACAGTATAAATATGATGCGCTACTTCGTGAACCATATTTAGAATATGATCCAGTAACAGGAACATTTAGTTGTAGTTAATATGGAATGTTAAACCAGAATTTAGTGGTATAGGTATATAAAGCAGTTCTCTCTTTCCTTTCCTGTTCTAGCTCAGTCACAAGGAGACCAGCAGCATTTCATTCTTTACTAACCACAGTTTTCTATTTCATCCATGTCAGGATTAGTTCGTCCAAAACTGGTCAGGATCAGAAATCGCAATCTGATCTTATCTTGTGTTTGTAACACACAATTTCAAATTAAACAGTTGGGATTAAATATCAAATTCCAAATGTCAAACAAAAGTGGATGCTTCCAATCTATTCCTTGCAGTAATACTTTAAAACCCAAAGCTTGTTCATCAATTACTAGTGTAGCGTGACTTTCAAATGCATGTCAGGGAGAAGTAGTATCCTTTTCACCAACTAGTTTTCTGCAATTAAATCTTCAGCTAAATGAACTTGCTTAATGACTTTAATTATGTGTATAGAACAACCAGCATAAATCATTCACTGCATAATTGCTGTTCTAAACCCACTCAGCGATAAAGACTTGTGGACTATACAACTATAGGATCTGGATTATGTGTGTTGGTACCATTACGGCTCTATTTGGTTCCAAACCAGCACATTTTAACTGTTACAGCACTGAATGAAATAAATATGGAATTATTAGGAGGGGAATTTTCCTCCATGGTACTTAGCATCATGATTTTAATCCATTATTTAAAGCAAACCATTCTGCTCATTTATATGTAATTTAAAATTCAGTAACTAAGCTTGCATAGGATGTGGAAATACACAGATCACATGAGGCAGATACAGGGATGGAAAAACTGAACTTATGAAAAGAAAGCATGTAATCAATGAAGATGACCAAGTATCTATTTTGTAGACCCTTTTAGTAAGCAATGCTGAACCACGCAAGAATTACATCCTATAGTATTTCCCAGGGTGGGTGTAGGGTGTGAATTCTACAAGTAAGTGAACAAAGTTGGTTGATCTTTCCTACATGCCTTTGTATCTGTCACATTCACATTCTCATAGATCCAAGGGACAGCCCTTTGAAATGCAAGCACTTTAAAGATTCCAGCTATAAAATGCTTCTAAAGGAAGAATTTCTTTAGCTGCTTTTAGTTGCTTCTGATTCTATATAGGCCACTGGATCATATGAGGATTTTGGCACTTAAAGAAAATCAGCGGCCTGGCATTATGAGTTTGACATATCAACAGCCGAACAAACAATCTGGCAAGTGAAAGAACACGAAGAAAATAGAGTCCCATTTTTCATCTAAAATTGCTTAGTGAAAAATACTCTCTCCAATTCATCATGGTTTTCTAAAATGCTTTTCAGACATTCAGTTAATATAATCTATCAGGAGCCCACCTAAGTAGGTCATTAGAAAGGGAAGTAAATGCCAATCTGTGAAAGGAAAACCCATAATTTTATTTTAACTCATTGTAGATGCAGCCTAGAATGGGATTAATGAAACAAGTTCTTAATTGTTAAACAGTAAAGCTGCTGCAGTTTTGGAGGGGAATATATATTACAGCAAACACATGTCAAGAAGGAGGCCAAGCAGAAATGAAATGTTACGACAAAGCTATTGCTAGAGCTCTGACAATGGTTGATACAGTTGAATGGATACAAGTGAAAGACAATTGTGTTAAGCTTGCTACACAAGCTTGAAATGTTTAGGTTTGCTAATTTTGCACTATTTAATCAAAATTATCATCTTAAGGCTATCTTAGTGAAGATACCAAGAGGACCTACAGTTTTTAAAAGGGCTAAAAGGATACACAGCATAACCAAGATACATAAAGAAATGCTTCTTTTCATAAAGTACATTTTCCCTACTCTTTAACGTGGGAAGCACTGTCTATTGCTATTGCTGAAAAAGTGAGAATTATGTCCATGTGCCCACAATAAAATAGCATCTGAGCACAAATATATAAAACTAGAGAGAACAGAACATTAATTTTGAGGTATCTGGGATTTTTTGAAAAAAACTATCAAAAATTAATGATGATTGACAGACAGCATTTTTAATATTATATCAGGTAAAAAAAGTTCTTAATGGATGTCCATAATGCTAAATAGTGTTTTCTACTTGGTTTCCATCAATCCCAGAAAATGGCATTTTTTAATTCTGGGAAGTGAGGAAAAAGAACCAAATTCTAAACTAAAGGTGCAATTGGGCAGATCCAAAATGAGGGAAACCTTCCCAAAATTACTTTGAAAGGCAATGAAAAAAACAACTAAGAGAGGAAAGGCTCTGAAAATTATGTAAATGTGCTTTACAAATTTTGTAATGAAAAATTCCTTTCGGACTGTATTTATTTTTTTCTTTGTAAGGATTTTTGAAATGTTCACCATTCTTATACAATGGTTTTAATTATTTATTCTGGGAGTGTTTCCCCTTCCAACAAGTAACTATAGCAACACTGTATATCCAACCAGAAGACCATCCGGTTATCTCTGGCCATCATTAATTCACTCAAACACTGAAGTTGCAAACACTGTTCTAAAAAACCCTTCACATCTGTTCTTCTCACAACCGTTATACAGCTCTTTGAAATACTATTTTGCAGTCAAAAGAAATGGATTTCTGGAGAACAAGAAGAGAGAATATCTTACCTGTAGCCTTGCTAACTGTGCAGTGCGGGATACGATTTTGTTGTAGGGATCAATAATTTTGGCTTTGATTCTAATGAAAAATGAGGCATATTTTAGAAATCAGGATAATACACAAGAATTTAAACTTCCAACAACATTACACAGATGGCATACCTGTCAACAGTACTTTGCAGGGCACTAATTCTGGTCTGCATCATTTCAAGAACACCTGCACAAAAGATAGAGGAACAGACCAAAATAACTATTTCACGTGAGATAAAGGCTGCTTTTTTTTCCCAGTTAAGGGAAAGAGCTTAAAATAAGCTAGAAAATTTTAGAAAGTAATACTATCTTAAAATGTTTTAATAGTTAATAATGAGCCTAATATTTTCAGTGCACAAAGGGCTTTATTTTTCTCACATTTATACATTAACGTACACATTTGCTCAAAGCTCACTCTGATCAATGGGACTTCTAAGACTATTTAACAGTACAAAGTAATCCCATGAATGTACAGAAGTCTTACTGAGCTCAACGTCAAACTTAAAAGATTTACAGGATTAAGGTTTTAATCACACAGCTAATACTGCATTTCTACCTATTATCATTATTTATATCCTGCCTTTAAGGATAAAAATCTTCCAAAGCAGCTTACAAGCAATATAAAATCTGTAAAAAAAAAAAGTATTATTTTAAAGCTATCAAAAGAAACTCTGAGGGGCCTTTCCCAAGGGATGGGGGAGGCAGGGAAAGGGAAGAATGAAGCTGAAAGGCCTCTGGATTATCATTCACCTGACCCCCTCTCTCTCTCTTCAAGGACAGTTGGTGGTAACGGCCATGTGGAGAGTGATGGCTTATAGGGACAATGTATGGATATCACATGAAGAAACACTGACTTAGAGGATCACAAAAATATAGGATTGGAAAGGACCTGGGAGGTGTCCTAGTGCAATCCCTTGCCCAGGGCAGGAATCCCAAATAGCTGGTCAACCTTTGCTTGAAAATCTCCAATGATGGAGCCCCCACAACTACAGGAGGCAGGCAGCTGTTCTCATGGTCAGGAAATTCCTCCTTACTCCCTCTGTAAAGCTTCCACCTGTTGATTTTTGTCCTGCCCTTAGGAGCTAGGAAGAATAAATCTACCTTCCCTGTGACTGGGTGAACATTACGAAGAAATTTGTGATGGATTGGGCATCCGAATCAAAACCTCTCCTCATTTCAATCCAAAACTTATCAATAATGCAAGACAATGGGGTACTACAGAAAGCTAAAATATGAATCCAGTTACTCAAGAATACTTGGTCTGCTGACAGTTAGTGCTATTAATAGCTTTTATGCCGCATTTACAAGGCTTTGCTGGCAGTGTGCAGGTACAACTTCGACAGACAAAGAAGGGCTGTAGAATTCATTCTTGGGTGGGGGAAGGGAATCAGTCAAATGTGCTAATAGAAGATTCTATATAATTACATACAAATATATTTCATATTTACACACACACGCACACACATATATAATATTCTCTTATATTTAGTACTGAAACATTCAGGCTTTCATCAAGGATCTCTGTATCCTGTTTCCTTCTTTAAGTTTGTAAGCTTGGAGGCCTTTCTTTCTAAGCTTGACAGGTAAGAAGCTGTACCCATAGAGACAAGATAAGGTGTACATTCTAAGGATAGTTTTACCAGGGAAAAGGTGCTTAGTTAACAGTCAAGGGGGCCTGGAAAGGAAAGGAAAGGAATTCCTAATGTGGAATGATACTGAGGTAGGACATGGGTGACTGAGTAAGGGGTGGTATTCCAAAGGAGGGGCTGAATGAAATGTATATATTGTGCCAAGAGGAGAGGGTCAAGCACAGCCGCCCACCTATCAACTTGCTGTCATCGCTTTGGCTTCTGGGCGAAAAATAAAGAACTTAATTTCATGCAACCGCCTGTTGTCTCCTTGACCCCGGCTCAGAAACAAACTGGTAAGAAATAATTCTAACACTAAAATGAAAATATGTATGATATCTGATTCAAGGGATGCACAAAATATTAATCTTTCTACAATACTGCTGTGACCCACTACATTTATATTCAACAGTCAGACCACCCAGAATTGTTTCTGTATTGCAAAAATCCCTATTTCAGGTGATGCAACCAAATATAATAGCAGGCTGATTAGATTTAATCATGAAAATCCAACTGTAAATATATTCTGAAAATAAAATCATTAAATTAATTGTAAAAATGATAAAGTTTGCAGTCTAGCAGTGTAATGTCTTCTAAATTTATTCATAATTTTTACCAGTATCTCAGTCCTTGCAGCTGAGAATCAAGGTAAACACTCATGCATTAAGAATCCAAGTGTATTTCGTTTATATAAGCAAAAATATTCAGCAACTGAATCTGAAACAAGGGCCCAGAAGAAAAACCTAAATCCCATGTGGTTGGTTTGTTCAAAACCTACAGCACAGAATCTAAAGCCTGGAGGGATAATGCTACCAAACCACAGAATTTTTAAAGCTCTCCATTAACAGAAAAACCTTGAATGCCTATAGCAATCCTCAACCAGTTACCAGGTGAAAAAGGTATTTAATAAATGCCAGTGGACTATGCTCATGTTTGATTTCCTGTAGATCAGTGCTGGCTAGGGAATTCTGGGAGTTGAAGTCCACACATCTCAAAGTTCAAATCTCAAGATTGAAGGCATTAGGCTGACTGTCTTGGGAACAAAGCGCTAGACTTGATAAGTCTTTAGACTAAGCCAAGAGGGGGTCTTCTGCTATTAAATGGGACATGCATTTCAATACTCCAGGTGGGACTTCATGTTTGGGATGCCATGGTGAGGGTACATCTCTCATCTCTCTCCTGATTAAAAGGCTTTCAAATTTCTATATTATCGAACTGTGTGGATAAGGACTTTCATCATTTGGTAAATAAAATTTTCATTATATATTATTTTGTTTTTAACAAACTATTGGAATGGCAACTAGACCTAAGCGTTCAACAGCTGGCTTAATTTCAGCTAGGCCACTATCTGCTGAGCCAGGCCAGATGGTGAAGGAGGATTCTTCTGCTACTTTACTAAAAGAGATCCTGCCTCAGGTACAACTCTTGAAGCCGATCCAACAAGATCTGGCAGAGCTTAAATGTGATTTAAAATTGATGCAAGAAAAAATGACACGCAAAGAAGATTGTTTAAATGCCCACAAGACTATAACTCAAGCCAGTCATGATATTTTGGATAAATTAATTATTTATCTGGAGTCACAATTGCGTAGGAAACACCTATGTGTGATTGGTATTGAAATCCCTCCAAGTCAATCAAACCTGGCTGAATTTATGGAAGACTTTTTCAGAAAGCTCCTTTCTTTGGGAACGGACTTTCCAGTCGAGACTGACTATGTGATTAAAATTCCTTTAATGAGAAGGAAGACTGGAACTAGTTCCAATATTCTTATTGTGCAATTCCTCCGTATTACCACAAGAGATGAGATTTTACGTATATTTTGCCAGGAATCAATAAAGTCTCCTTTGAAATGGGCTTCTAGTCAAAGTAAGATATCAACTTATCCTGATTTTACTAAAGAGTTTTCAGAAAAGAGAAAGATGTTTACAAAAACTCAAAGTCTTGCCAGATCAATACAACTTCAATATTTCATGCATTTTCCAGCTACATTCTGCATTAATAATCAAGATCAGATTCACAAATGTGATAATCCCTTGAATGCAGAGGCTTTATCTTATCTTTAAAATCTGCAGATGGACAAGCTTGATTGTGTTTCATTCTACAGAATCCGCCACAGAGAAGTTGGAGTTTGCCTACAGTAAAAACCTAAGTTTAAAAGTCTACATGCCAGTATTTTTTTTCTGTACTCCTGTTTGTT